ATCACATACCCCAACTTTACCCGAAGGCCAGTGTGAGTCAACTATCCAACATCCAAAAATCCAGTCCGTTACCAGAAAGAAATCCTAAGAGGTTGAACTGTTAAGCGGCGCAGAAAATCCAAGTGCGAGATCCATGATCCGCCCTGAATTATAGAAGAGAATATCCAAGAAATCCAGGAATCCTGAGAAACTGTCGCCAAAGAAGAGTTGTGTTTTTGCGGAGAAGTAGTAACGAGAGAAGGACTTGAAGATGGGCCATGTAATTTAGAAGCAGTCGAGATACCCTGTAACTCTTCCCAAGCATGGAAAAGAACATTCCGACATAGCCAAATTTCACCATATAATTCAACTTGGAAGTCATTAAGAAGAGGAGAGATAGTCTTATATACAACAGAAAGAGGAAAATATTGTGCCAAAAATGTCATCAAATGCGCAGGTAACAGTCCTCTGGTAAGCCAAAGACAGGATAGAGAAGGAGTTTCACAGTTCCAGCAATCTAAAGCAGAGAAACCAGATTGGAAAGTAACATCCAAAGGCTTCAGGGACAAAAACGAAGATAAACAGGAATCTCTGAATTTAAACAACTTCAGAACGATGTGTAAAACATGGATTGAGATCCGGGAGGATATAGGGACAAGTCCAAAGATGGTTCAAATCTTCAGGAGCAGAGTTGCATAGTGGATAAAGCCAATCCGGAGAGTATAAATAAGGTTTGCGTTGTTGAAGAGTAGATAAGGTAGGTAGCATATCCAAAAGAAGTTTGATACGGAAGATCTAAAATTCAGGGCGACCATTCTTGTGCGAAGTAAAACCTTTAATTTGTGAAAGGCAAAAATATATACCAGCCCAGTCGAAAAGTGAAGAAGAACCAAGAGCAGCAAAACGTGCCATTGAACAAAAGGATAAAAGAGCACGAGCATCTGCTATAGAGCGAAGAAAATGACGAATATTCATGTCAATAGGCAAAGAATTAAAGGTCAAAAGACATGGAGCATGGCAAAACACCAAAGGTGGAAAAGTAGGTTGTAAAGATGAATGAGCATCTTTTGCCAGAGAATCCGCACGTGAATTATAGAAATCGTCGCCATGAGCAGGGACTTTACTCAACTCAACTTTAAGGTTACGATCTATAATAAGTTGTCGAATAGAAAGCCAAAGAAGATGATTGGGTTCACGAAGTAACTTTGGTGAGCAAAAGATATTAACGAAACGTGCCCATAACGAGATAAGTAGTGTTCTGAACAGATCGGATCAGACCGGATTTGAGTTAAATCTGATCTGATCTGAATTCGAATCAAATTAAATCAGATTCGATCCGATCCGATTCAGATCCAAATTAGATTCGATCCGATCCGATTTGAATCTGAATTAGATTCGATCCGATCCGATCTGAATCCCAACTGATTTGATCTGATCCGATCCGGATCTGATCTGGATCCGAATCAGTTTTCATAATTAAAAACGTTTTTCGCAACGTTTTTTTATTAATATTGTTAAAAGACGTTGCGAAACGACTTTTTATGGCAAATTATCAAACAAAAAAATGTTTCGCAACGTTTTTATTAAACAATTGCGAAAACGATTTTTTATCGGTAAAATTATTAAATAAAAAACGTTTTCGCAACGTTTTTTATTTATATAGTTAAAACCCGCTGCGAAAAACGCTTTTATTTCGTTAAATTATCAAATAAAAAACGTTTCGCAACGTTTCTCATTAATACAATTAAAAAACGTTGCGAAAGACGTTTTTTTTGTTAAATGCATAAATAGAAATGTTAAACGGCGTTATTTTATGAAAAAAGATGCCGTTTCGGCATCTTTTTCATTTTTTTATCAAATAAGGTGCCGTTTTGGTATCTTTCGTATTATTTTATTAAAAAAGATACCAAAACTGCATCTTTTCGTAATATTTTATGCAAAAAAGATGCTGAAACGGCATCTTTTCATATTATTTTATCAAAAAAGATGCCAAAACGGCATCTTTTCGTATTATTTTATCAAAAAAGATGCCGAAACAGCATCTTTCGTATTAT